CGCATTTCATAATCGTTAAAAATTTTAAACGACAAAAATTAAAATCATTTAAAACGTATGTTTTTAAATAAGACATTATGCATCCGATCTCATAACAATCAAATAAAAAGTAAGATCATCCAAAGACTGTTTGTTGCGACATAACCGCCATTTTGTTAAATTCAGTTAGAATCATTGTCTAATTAACTAAGAAACAATTGAAGGAACATATAAAATGGTAAATATTTTTCAAGAAACGGATAACAAAAAAAAAGAGTATATATTAATTCCCTTTTTTCCCCAACTTAATTTCTTCATAGAAATTATATAAAAAAAACATACAAATTATTATAAACTAAGGTGCTTAATACCCATTAAAAGTAATTCAAACTACATACCCTTTAAAAAAGAGTACTAATCTGAAGTCGGGAGAAAGAAACTCTAAAATTTGGAGCTTTATAAACATTTCCTATTAATGACATCAATTACATAAAGAAATATTCTTGTGAAACCGATCAAGTTGGAATCCCATTTGAATCGATTACACTGATTAAAAGTAGCAAATGGCTGAAAATCCGAGGCTGGTAGCTCTTCTTTTGTTAAAATCTATTCAACAACATAAAACACCAACATTTGGTTACCTTTGATTTGAAACAATTTTTAATGTCCTTTTGTCTTTTAATCTATGTAAAATAGATTAAAAAAAAACAGTAATTTGAAAGTAGAACACACGAATAACTTGTTTTGAAAATAAAGTAGTCAGAGTACATGAACGTTGCTGGAAGATAACAACAAAAATTCACTAATTCAAGTGGATAAAATGAACATCATAACTCAGAAAGTATCATAAGTTAGTTGGATTCGACTTGCCGTCGGACCATTGGCCTCTCCAAAAGTTGTACATTCGAGAATATAATCATTTTTAAAAGCAATTAGCGAATGGAATATTAGTATAAATTCGAGAAAATACTAATATGCTTACATTCCTTCTTCAACTTGGTATTCCATTTTATTATAATTTTTACAAATTCTCAACGAAGAAATTTGATTTATTTCCATTCTCTCTCACCTCGTTGCCAAATCCTCCAATTTTTCATATTATATAATCAAAGGTGACATACGTTTCAACTTATGCCATTTTCATATATAAAATAAAATCGTTATAGTTACTCTAAATACTAAAAACAAATAGTTAGAGAGTTTAGCTTGTCGTTAAACTTATTTGTTCATCCGTTGTGTTTTTCTTTTCACATGTAATCGTCTTGCATTACACACATACGAAATGAAGAACTAAACTGCGTTGACAAAGACGAGACAAAAAACACAAAAAATCATTTGGACTTTTCACGCATCTACGAATAAAAAGAGAGAAAAACTTTAATGAAAACTCCCGAACCGTTGGATTTGTATATCGGACGGCTAGAAACGATGGAGTTTGGGGGGAGTGACCTGTACAAACAGCAACAACATGGGAAAGAAGACCCTGAAATCAGGAACTGGAGACAGCTGGCACTATGACGTGGCACATCGTGGGCGTTTCATCTTATTGCAACGAGCATCACGTGGATTTTGTCTGGACCACCGTGGCAGTTTTTTTTTTTCTATTATCTTATTGCCAATAAGCTTTTGTTCCTTTACATATGTTTTTTTTTAATTGCTTTTGTTATTTTGTTTTAGATAATAAATCGTCTTTATCTTCTGTGTAAATTTGATATACACTATACGGGTCTCTTTATAACCGTCGGTTTTGTAATAAGAAAATTTGAC